GTTGTCGTCGATTCCGTCGTCGCCGTCGTCGTCGTCGTCCGTCGTACGCGATGTAGTTGTTCTCGTCGTCGCCGCCGCCGTCGTCGCCGTTGTCGTCATTGTCGTCGTCGTCGTCGTCGTCGTCGTCGTCGTCGTTGTCGGCGCCATAGCGCCGTCTTGCAGGTCTCTTGGTGCGCTGTAGGGCCATCTTGGAGGTCTGTTGGGCTGTGATGGGGCCCTCTTTGGACCGTCTTGGGAGCCTCTTGGGCCATCTTGGGCCATTTGGGGCAATTTTGGGGCGTCAGTAATTATTCCGAACTAGCGAGAACGCCCACATATTTCAAGCAGAAATTCAGATGATTCTTGGGGCCTTCCTAGAGGGAGGGCCTCTTGAAACCTTCTTGGGCCGTGTTGGGGGCCTGCGTCTTGAGGCCCCCTGGGGCTGTCTTGGGACCATTTGGGCCCGTTGCCGTCCTTTCCTCCGCCAGCCATTTTGGCTCAAGCCGCTCTGGCTGGAGCCCGCGCCGAAGCACGCTCGTGCCCCACGGTCCAGGCCATGGCCGCTGCCGTGGCGGCGGCCGCCGCGGCGTCCGCGGCGGCGACCTCCCGGTCGGCCGACGCTGCGCGGCTCGCCGTGCGGGCGCCGCCGCCGCCGCCGCCCGCGGCGGCTGCTGCGGCAGCAGCGGCGCGGCCCGCGGCGGAGACGGACGCGCGCGAGCTGGACCGTGTCGCTGGCGAGATGGCGCGCAGGTCCTTGGCCAAGCTGCCCGAGGCCCAGCTGGCCGCCAAGCTGCCCGCCGTCAAGGCCAGGATCCTGCAGCGACTCCTGGCGCAGGCGGCCGCCGGTGAGCCTGCGCTGGACCCCACAGCCGCCGCGGCCCTGGGGGATCGGCGGCCCGCGGCGCCCGCGGCCCCAGCGGAGGGGCCGCAGCCCGCCGGCGGGGCGCCAGCGCCGCTGGCCCCGCCAGCGCCGCTGGAGGAGGCGCCCGGCGAGGATGCGGAGCGGCCGGCCGGCGCCAGGCGACCGCTGGTGGAGCTGCCTCCGCCCCAGGACGGCGTGGAGGCCTGCGGGGACGACCCCTGGTTCGCCGACTCGCAGGTCCGCCTTGCCTTGCGCGACGCCGTTGAGGTGGCGCACTCGGAGCTCAAGATCCTGGTGCGGGACCCTGCGGAGGAGATAGCGCGCATCTGCCCTGGGCAGGGGCGCGAGCTGCGCGCCGGCGCGGTGCTCCGCCTCGGGGGCCACCACCTGGGCGGCTTCGGGGAGGCCGACGTGGCCTACGCCTACCGGCAGCTTTCCCGCGCCCTGCACCCGGACAAGAACCCTGGGAACCCGCTGGCCGCCGCGGCCTTCAAGCGCCTCTCGGAGGCGCAGCAGGAACTGAGGGGCGGCCTCGAGGAGGCCAGGGCCATCCTGCGGAGGCTGACCGGCCCGCTAAGAGGCGGCGCCGTGGACGAGGCCGAGCTGGTGCGGCCCCAGGAGGCGCTGTTTGCCGAGGCGGCGCGACTCGCGGCTGCGGTGCTGGCGCTGGCGGGCGAGGGCGAGGTGCCACGCGCCGCGCGCAGGCGCGCGGACGCTCACCTGCAGGTTGCTGCTCGCTCGGGCGGGGGCGCGTGGGCGCGAGCCTCCGGCGACGGCGTTCGAGACGGACTCGTTTCGGTGTGGTTCGGGAGCCCAGATCTGCTCTGGTGCTTCGGCGAGGGCGCGGTGCGGAGCTCGTACGATTGCGCGCCGAAGCGCTACAGGGCCCATTTCCTGTGCCTCCTGTCGCGCCTGGCCCTGCTGGAGGGCGAGCGCAGTGGTGGCTGCGTACGGCAGGAGTGGGCCAGGGTGTGGGAGGCGTTCCCAGAGCTGCAGCTGTGGCAGCACCTGCGGGGGCGACTGGCCCGCAAGTGCCAGGTCCACGGCCGCCGCAACGACCCCGGACACGACCCAGCCCGCCAGCGCAGCCGCAGCCCCGCACGCGGGCGCGAAGGCGCCTCCAGCGGGGCGCCGGAGGAGGGCACGTCGCAGTGGGCCCGCCGCTGGCGCAGGATGATGTGCGCCATGCTGCCGCCTGGGGAGGCCGCGGCGGTGCCGTGGTCAGACCTGGAGGTGCGGAAGCTGTGCGCCGCCCTCTGGCGCGACTTCGTAGACCCGCTGGGCAGGGGCGCCGAAGGGGCCGCAGATCCGGAGGTGGACGCCGCGAAGCGCAGCCTCCACCTCTTCCGCACCGAGAGCCGCGGCGCCGCCGACGTGGAGGCGCAGCGCGGCGCCGCGCCCGCGGAGTGGGCGTTCGTGCCGGCCGCGGACCTGCTGCTGGTCGTTGGCGCGGGCGCGGTCGGCGTCACGGTCGAGGGCGTCTTCGTGGCCGGTGGCTCGGCGGCGCGCTTGCCGTTCGCCTCCGCCGTCTTCCAGACGATGATGTGAGGCGAGCGCGGCACGGGCACCAGACATGAGGCGCCCCAGCTGGCCGGGCGGCCGCCGCCGCCCTGCTTGCGGGCGGCCCGCGGGCCCCACCGCCCACGGGGCGGCCGACAGGCCCGCGGGCGCCGCTCGCCGCGGCGCTCCGCGCCTGCCCGCCCTGCGCGCCTGCCCGTGGCCTGCCTGCAGCATCGGGGCTGCGATCGCTGGCTTCGTTGGGGGCGTGCGCGGGGCCCCGCCCGGGCGAGCGGCGAGGGCGCGCGGCTCGGGCGCCTGCTGGGGCCTCGGGGCCGCCGTTGGCGAGCCCGTGGTGCTGTTTGCGGCGGCCCCCGCGCCTCTCCGAGGAAAGGCCGCGAGAGCGTCTCGGGGCTCTTCGCACGGAAGGCCCTTCCGACCGCTCGGCAGACGTCTGGCGCGGGGCGCCTCACATCAAGGTATGATCGCATGTTTGCCAACGTGGACCCCGAACGGTGTGTTATTGCATTCTGGATGGGTCTTAGGTGTGGTGCAAGCCAAATGGTGCAATGGACTTGGCGCAATAGTAGGTGGTGCAACCGATATGGTTCAAACGAACTGAATGGTGGAAGCTACGTTGTGAAACGTATGTCGTGCATCCGATGTGGTAAAATTATGTTTGACCATCTTAATGTAGTTACCTTCAATGAGCAACACCCAACTGGCGAAATGACGCGATGACCCGTCTCATGCAGATCCGTGACTCGGGTGGGCGAGTGATAACTGTGACGAAGACATCGATGACGACGATGACGATGATGATGCTGCTGCTGATGATGATGCTGATTCTGACGATGACGATGATGTTGATGATGATGGTGGTGGCGGTGGTGACGATGATGGTGATAGTGATGGTGATGGTGATGATGATGATGATGATGATGGTGATGGTGGCGGCGTCGATGGCGAGGGCGACCACAATGACGATGACGAAGAATCCAGCGATGACTATGATGATGAGGATGATGAGGATGAGGAGAGGATGATTATGATGATGATGACACGATGGTGATGATGCTGCTGATGCTTATGACTCAGGTGCTGCTGCTGATGATGCTGACGATGGGGGTGATGGTGGTGATGATGATGATGACGGCGGTGGTGTTGGCGATGACGACGACGATGGATATGGTGATGGTGGCGATACTGGTGGTGGCAATGATGACGCCGGCCATGGTGGTGATGATGATGCTGATGATGATGACGACGATGATGATGAAGATGGTTCTGATGAGAGGTGGGGATCTTCACGCGTACAGAGAATCTGAAATATTGTGCATGGTTTCGCCACTCCCGACAACGTAGCCTCCAGACCGAAGGTCAGGCCCAACCGACGCCCGGCGACGAAGCAGCGACGGGGCGGTGACGGCGACAACATAGCCGCGAGACGGACGGTCAGGCCCAGACGACGCGCGGCGACGAGGCGGCGACGGGGTGACGGGGCGGCGACGGCGACAACAGCCGCAAGACGGACGTTCAGGCTCAGTTCCTTTAGGCAGCGAAGTAAGAACCCCTAAGTGCAAATGTTTTTTTGGGAACTACGGTGAAATTTTGGTGGTGCAAGCTATCTGATGCATTCTGTGTGTGGTGCAGCTGTGCGTCGCACGCCATGCGTCGCAAGCTGTGTGCTGCACGTTAAGCGATGCAACCTGTGTGGTGCAAGCTATGTTGTGCGGGCTATGCGTTGCACCCAGCGCACGGGACACTCACGAGGCGCCCACTAGCGGTCATGGGCCATGGGCGGGCACCAGGCAAAACCCCGCCACCCCCACCCGGTGCACGGGGCGGCCGCGGTACGCCCCTGGGCAACCGCCGAGCGGGCACCAAGGCGAAACTCCGCCACACCCACCCACAGCGCACGGGGCGCCCACGGGGTGTCCGCCAACCAGGAGACCCCGCCACGTCCATCTGCTTGCTCAGGTGCCCAAGTAACCACCCCTGAGTGCAAGCACTGTTCGAGGACAGGTCAGCGCATGCTCTTGCAACGCGATAACTTGAAGTCGAACCTCCCTCCTCCGTCGTCCGTCCGTCCTCCCTCCTCTCTTGTCCCTTCGCCCTCCTCCCTCCCTCGGTGGTCTCTGGAGGTCTCCAGGGTCCCAAATGCGGCGTTTCTCGATCTTCTATCCTCGAATTTCGATCGTCGAGCCTCGATCCTGGACTCGGCGCCACTCACGCATACTCATAAGATGTGTACGTCGGCACCAGACGGGCCGACGCGCACGCTCAGAGATCTCATAGTACAGGCTCCGTGGCGGGCGCTTTCTGGCCAGCTCGGGAAACGATATGCTATAAGATGTTCATACGAAGTGCTCGATTGGGACGTGCGCCTCGGAGGAGGGCAGCTGCCTGCTGCATTCTCATATGCCCTCCAGCACCCTTGGTGCGGTACGACGTATTGGGGGGGGTGGCCGGGCCTCCCGAGCCGACACTTGTGCCCTCGAGGACCTTGACGTGAGTGAAGGCTCCTGTCCCCTGCGGCGTTGATTCGTGGTGGAGCTGTGGTTTGTGGGGCTTCCTCATGGGCTCCTCACAGGCTAATGCGTCCTTCTGCGTCCCGTGGACCCCCTTGCCTCCGCCGCCCTCCGCCGCCGCTGCCGCAGAGGCGACGCCGCGCCGGGGCCTCCGCCGGGGCATCCCCAGCAGTGGGTCGGCACGCAGGCCTGGCGGCGCCCCGCTGGGCGGGGAGGTGCGTGCCACATCACTGGAGCCTATGTGTGTCCTCCTGCAGTCAACCCGCATAGCAAGGGCGGGCAACCTTCCCAAGGGTACCCTTGCATCCCTGCCTCCTCGTTCCATCCTTGGCCACTCGTTGGCCGCGCCCCGCTCGAAAGCTTCGGAATGGGCGCCGGCGCACATCGGGGGTGGCCAGCCGAACAGCGTTCCACGGGTGGCCGTTTAGCGGCACTTCCCCACGCTTGGCAGCAGTAAAAAGGTGTCCCGCGCGTCGGGGGGGGAAAGCCCCTCTCCCAGTCGGACAATGCCAACCCGTAGAAGCAGCCGAGAAATGCCCCTCCATGCTGCGGTTGCCGTTGCGGCCTGGGCGCGCCCTTGCGGCAGGATGCCCCTTGCGGCATGGGTGTGCCCTTGCGGCACGGAATCCAGGAAGAAGGAGGGTGCCCCTTCCCCTTGTGGCATGGGTGTGCCCTTGCGGCACGGATCCAGGAATAATGAGCATGCCCCTGCGGCATGTGAATGCCCTTGCGGCAGGGACCCAGGAATATTGGCTTCGCGGCATGAGGGCTTTCCCCTGCGGCAGGGACCGTGGACTAATGCCCCTGCGGCATGGGAGTTTGCCCTCGCATGACTGCACTCGGTGGGTTGGTTGTTGCCAGTGAGATTTTAACGAGCGCGTTAACACATCGGGGCCGTCTAGGGGGGTCGATGGTCGGTCGATGGTCATCTTCGAAAGAGCGCGTTCTGTGGTCGCTTGGAGGGGGGGGGTTGGAACCGGACCCCCCCCCTGGATTCAGGGAAGCGGAGGCGGGGTAACAGCAGACGGGGTAACAGGAACTGGCCAGTCCGAGGCAACAAACGCGCCTTTTGTTGCAGTGCAGTTTTTCAGCCTTCGCGTTCGATGCAGCACCTGCCACATGTTGTTTGCGTTAAAACAAATTGCGGCTGCTGCGCTGCAACTTCTTGTTTTGTACCCGGTCTGTTGGGCTTGTTTGCAGTTTTCCCGCAACTAATTGCATAAAACATGCAATGCTGTTTTTTTTCGTTTCAGAAAAACTGCCTTGCATTTTTTGTTTTGGCCGTTTGAGTTTCTCCGTCTGGATCCCATAGTGGGTCTGTTACCAAGTTTAGGTGTTACCCGGTTTAGTTTTCCCTGATGGATGGAGGGGGGGGGGTTCGAACCGCCCCCCCGTCCCGTGACGGAGGGGGGGGTTTCAACCCTCCCCTTTTCCGTGACGGGGGGGGAGGGGGTTTCAAACAAACCCCCCACCCCCCCGCTTCCCCTCTCCTCGGGCCGGCGCTTGCGTCGGCGGCGGCTGGCGACGGCGGCGGGGACGACGATTTTCATTTCTGCGCCGGCGCCGGCCGGTGCCTGCGGCGGCGGGCGGCGGTGGCGGGGAGCGTCGACGAGGACGACGGTGGTGGTGGTGGTGGTGGTGGTGGGTTGTGGTGGTGGTGGCGGTAGCGATGGTGGTGGTTGTGGTGGTGGTGGTGGTGTGGTGGTTTGTTGTGGTGGTGGTGGGTTGTGGCGGTTGGTGGTGGTAGTGGTGGTTTGGTGGTGGTGTGGTGGTGGTTTGTGGTGGTGGTGGTGGTGTTGGTGGTGGGTTGTGGTGGTGGTGGTGGTGGTGATGGTTTGGTGGTGGTGTGGTGGTGGTTTGTGGTGGTGGTGGTGGTGGTGTGTTGTGGTCGTGGCGGTGGTTCGTGGAGGTGGTGGTGGTGGTGGTGGTGGCGGTGGTGGTGTTGGTGGTGGTGTGGTGGTTTGAGGTGGTGGTGGCGGGTTGTGCTGCTGGTAGTGGTGGTGGTTGTGGCGGTGGTGGTGGTGGTGGTGGCGTGGTAGAGTGGTGGTGGTGGTAGTGGTGGTGGGTTTTTGTGGTGGTGGTGGTGGTGGGTGGTGATGGTGTGTTGTGGTGGTGGTGGTGGTGGTGGTGGTGTTGGTTGTGTGGTGCTGTTGGTGGTGGTGGAGGTGGTGGGTTGAGGCGGTGGTGGTCGTGGTGGTGGTGGTAGTGGTGGTAATCGTCGCTGCGTCCCCGCCGTCGCCAGCGCCAGCGCCGGCGCTGCTGGCCGGCCAGCGCCGGCGCCCTCGCGAACCCCCTCCCCCCCCTCTCGGCGCCAGGGGGGTGGGTTTGAACCCCCCCCCCCTTGAGCTGCCTCTGGTCATCGTCGCTGTGCCCCCAGCGTGGGCGCTGCTGGCGGCCGCCAGCGCCAGCGCCGGCGCCGGTGCCGGGGGGAGGGGGCTTTGAACCCTCCTTCCCCCCCTCGGAGGGGGGGGGGGTGCGGGAGGGGGGGGGTTTGGGGGCGGAGGGGAGTCCCTCTGGTTTTGATCGACTGCGCCGAGTGTTGGGGGGGGCCCACCCCCCAGTTTGAAACGCGCCGCCGAATGTTCCCAAGGCAAGCGCCCGTGAAACGCGTTCTCTCTCATGTTTCGACCCTCGTTGCACCCAAGGTATATTTGCTCAAGTTGCGCGCGCGCGTGCGGGCTCGATGCGTCATCTCAGCTCCTTCGCACTGACAGTGGACCGTGCCGTGAAGCGTCCCGACGATGGCCCCACCGTCCTGCCGCACTTCTCGGATCGGGCCGAGCGGGGCCCCCTCCCCGCAGGGCCCGAAAATACTGCCGCGCGGGGGCGCGCCCGGCTCGAGCAGGAAGGCGACGCCAGGATCTCTCCAAGGTCGTGGCGCCTTCACATCTCGATCGCGACATCCAGATCTCCTGCTCTGTTGATGTTGGAGGAGGAGGAGGAGGAGGAGGAGGAGGAGGAGGAGGAGGAGGAGGATGCCTTGAACCTGGTCTCCTGAGATCTCCTGAGATCCTGGTGTCGCCTCGACCCCCCGCCCCACCTCCTGAGAGGGGGGCGGGCCGACAGTGGCCCCACCGCTCTTGGCAGCGCGCGGGCACCGCCTCCCCCGGGCCCCATCGATGTCGTGGATTTTTTGGGGCCAAGAAGACGCGCGCAGAAACTGTGCAGGGCGAGCTCCCGCCCTGACATCTTCCCTCCTGTCAGATCTTCCCACTGACATGATATCAAGATGGCAAACAACAAGTGTTCAAGCTGAGTTGCCCGTGTTATGAGAGCCCCAGCGAATGGTCAAATCTCTAGCAGCGGTCTCTCAGCCAGGCGAGCGCGCGCGAGGAGGCAATCGACCGGCCAGAGAGAGACCGGCAGGGGGAGGCTGCGCCGTCGGGAGACGGGCCCCCCTCCTCGCGTCGTGGCAGAAGTCGCGACGGGCTGTGCGTTTGGCAGTTCTCGACCTCTCGGGGCCGGCGCCGGGCCGCGGGGCCGTCAGAACACGGCTCGGGACGAGAAGGAATCGGGCCCCAGGGGGGAGGTCCAGCGTCGGAGTGCCTCGGTACGGCGGTGGCGCCTCCCCGAGGCGTTCGTTGTCCAAAGCGCCGCACTGCCGATGCGTCGGCGACGTGTACGTATCGGCACTGCAGCGCGATCCTACTCGGACGCTGGAACGTATACATGACCCGTGGCGGGCTCTCTTTCAATCCCAGGACTTTTCGAGGGTCGGGGGTGACGTCGGGGTGGTGTGGTGTATGCCTTTTCCCCGTTGCCCCGGGGAAGCAGCGAAAAATGTATACACCAAGACCCCCTATACACCAGGATTCGCTTTCTTGTGAGAGTTTCAGCGCAGGGCCGGAAAAAACGTTGGTGTATAGAGTTCGGCCCCCTACCTACGACCCCATCTATTCGGACCCCATGATGGAGACCCCCAGTGAACCAGCGGAAAACCTAGGTCATACATCCCCAGGACGAAAGTTTTTTCCTCTCGGGCCCAGAACGACGGTGTGAAGTCTTGAGCAGACCCGTATGAGATAACCGCCGTCGGATCCCATGAAGTTCGCGAACTCCTCATGGCCATTTTCACCTCAAGAGGAACATCTTTCGTCCTGCGTAAGGAGGTCACCCGCGGGGGCGCGAAAATAATCACGCTTCGCGCGTCGCGGTCTGGACCGGAGCGCTGCGCTTCTCCGGGGGCGGTGGCGCGAGGGCGCGTGGGCGCGAGGACATCCCCGCGCGCCTCGCACCGCGAGGCGCGAGGCGCCAGGTGACGTTCGGGAACTTTAGGATAGCGTGTCGCCCCGAAGTTCCCCGCCCCCAGGCGTTCACGCCGGAGTTTTCCTGGGCCTCCCGCCCAGCGGCTCGGAACGACGTGCCGTCGCCCTGCAGAGCTCAGCGTGCCGTCGGGACCTCCGTGGCGACGCGCTGTGCAGAATCTTTTGACCGTGGGCGGCCCAGGAAACGTTCGAGTCATCCGAGGGAGGCGTGGGGGGCCCCCCTGGGGCGCGCGCGCGCCCGCCGCCCAGGTCGGGCAGCCTGGGGACCCGCCACCGGTGTCGGGCGGGGGCGTGGAGGCCTGCCCGCCGCGACGCCGGCGGTCAGATGGCGGGTTGGATGCGTGGCCTCAGTGCGGTCGTGGAGGGGGGTCGCTGGGGAGTCGCTCCCTCCTCCTCTCCCCCCTTTCTTCCCTCCTCGTCTCCTCTCTCTCTTTCCGCCGTTCTTCTCCTCCCTTTTCCCTACTCATCCCTCCTCCTTCTCCTCTCTACCTCCTCCTCCTCCTCCTCCTCCTTCTCTTCCTCCTCCTCCTCCTCCTCCTCCTCCTCCTTCTCTTCCTCCTCCTCCGCCGCCTCCTCCTCCACCACCTCCTCCTCGCCCTCCTCCTCCTCCTCCTCCTCCTCCTCTTCCTTCTCCCCCATCCCCCCTTTTGATGAACATTCCTCCGTGTCGCACCCCGAGACGGGTCGGTAGGGCGGGCCGGACGTTTCACCTGAAACTTTTTCCTTACGATTGATCCTGAAGCTGAGGACTTTACTTTGCAGCAGTTTCACGGATGGAGGGCGGGTCGTTTTTAAAATGTCGCTCTCGCCTCAGTGCGCGCGCATTCGCCTTAGAAATTTGCAAACTTTTGCACTAGTTTTGCAAAGTATTCAACATGTTGCTCTCGCCTCAGCGTTGCACGCATTCGTGTTGACAGTTTCCGAGAGTTTTGCGCGTGGAGGACAGTTTCTTTTTTTAAATGTGGCTCTCGCCCCAGCGCCGCGCATATTCGTGGTAACAGTTTAGAGCAGTTTCCAGGATTCTTATGGCTGGCGTCCCAGAAACAGTGTTTCTGCAATATGTAGGACTGTCAGGTTGCAACAGTTACGTTGATTTGCGGTGTTGATGTCCCAGAAACGGTGTTCTGGCGCGATTTAGAATCGCCAGGTCGCAACAGTAACGTTGGCTCGCGGCGTTGAAGTCCTAGAAATGGTGCTTTGGCGTGGATGACGATTTTCAGACGGTTGTCCTCCAACGGGGCTCTTCCCGCAGTGAAGATCATTATTTATAAGAACCATGCAGAGGGAGTTTGGAGGGAGGGTTAATTGCAACCTCGTTGATGAGTTTTGGGTTTAATTGGTCCTCCTCCTCCTCCTCCATCGCATCCCCCCCTGTGGGTTAGGGGGCTGCCTGACTGCATTGGAGGTGGACAACAGTGAGAGAGTAGGCAGCAAGCTAAGTGGACAGGTAGTAATCAGATGGTCATCGACAGGCCGTCGGCCCATCCCGCCACAACGCTTGGGTTGTGGACACTCGGTCCTTTGTGAAGCCTCTTGAGGCCCTTTCGGGGGTTTCTCGGGGGTCAGCTGGGCCTCTCGTGGACCATCTTGGGGAAAGAGCTCGAATTATCAGTACGTAAGTGGACAGAGTTTCCTGTATCTATACATCGTGCGGGTGCTGAGGAGGAGGCGGAGGAGGAGGACGGGGAGGAGGAGGAGGAGGAGGAGGGGGAGGAAGAGGAGGAAGAGGGAGCAGCAAGATGAGAATGAGGAGGAGGGACCAGTGTAAACCCAAGACTCACCAACGATGTTTGAATGAACCCTCCCTCCCAGTTCCCTCTTCAGATGTCCATACAAGGGTTCATTTTCATTAAGAAACGTGCCCCGTTGGAAGACAACGTCTGGAAATCCTGAACCGAGCCAGAACACCATGCCTGAACGCCGCGAACCAACGGAACTGTTGCGTCCTGGCGATCCTGCACCGTGCCAGAACACCATTCCTAAGACTTCAACACCGCGAATCAACGTAACTGTTGCGATCTGACAGTCCTACATCTTGCCGTAACACCGTTTCTGGGACGTCAACAATGAGACGACTTGAAATGGTTAGAATATGTAACCACGAATGTGCGCGGCGTTGAGGCGAGAATCACATTAAAAAAATGAGCCGCCCTCCATGCGCGTAACTCTTGAAAACTTCGAAAAAGAATGTGCGCGGCGCTCAGGCGAGGGCAACAACGTTGTGAAAACGAACCGCCCTCCATCCGTGAATCTCTCGCACACCAACCTTGCAACGTAAGGATCCTACATGGTGAGGAACTCTCATGCGAGACGCCCGGCCCGCCTTGTTGACCCGTCTCGGGAGCGACAGGGAGGATTTTTTTAATGGACAGGGACAGTAAGGGGACAAAAAAGCGGAACCCCTTCGCTTTCGATCCCTTGTTCGCCCCTCTTCCCCCCCAGACTCAAAGTTGCCGTCCGGGCTGCTGGAGGCCCTGGGGGATCCACTTTTTTTGTCCTTTCGAGCCTGTGCTCCCGAATGCCGAGCTGTGTATACACCTTCCTGGCCAAGCCAGGAGGGCGTGGCGTCTACACCGCTGCTGGGTTCAGGGTGGGCTTGGCCAGGGATCAGTGGATATGTATAGATTTCGTCGCCTTAGGGGGGGGGGAGCGGCGCCAAGGGTTCCACTTTTTTGTCCATCTACGGGATGGATGGAGGATCGTCACGTGGTCAGGGGCGGTCCGTCCACCCCAAGGCCTGGGGTCCACCCGTAGGGGGGTGTGGGCCTGCGTGTTGGCGGGGGAGGGACTCCGTCGACCTCTCTGGCGAGCTCCTGTGCGAGGAAGGAGGCGGGGAGTGAAGATTTGGGTGCCCGCCGCTGCAGAAGAGATTCCATGGGGTCCGATCTCCTGGGCGGTCAAGTCCTCTTTCACGTTGCCCGCTCAGGCTTCTCGCATTCGATTCGCTGTGCTTGCCACGACTTGCACATGCAATCTGTGCAGCAGCGTTGGCCGTGTTCGGGAGGCCGTCGTCCGAAAACGTCCCGTGTCGCTCGACAGAGGCGTTCTCGCGCCAGGGCTGTTGTGGCTCGGAGCCGGCCGAAGCAGTCGAGCTCGGCCTGTGGGATGCCATGGTCTTCTGCTGCCTGGTCCTCGAAGCCGTCCGCGATAGCGCTGCCAGCCCAGGCATGTTTGGGGTAGCTTCGCTGCACAGCTTCCTCAACGGAGACGTGACTCTCGATCTGCTAAAATTTCACGGGTCCCGAACGATTCGCCAGCTCGATTTCAATCATGTGCCAAACCCGTATTTGCCGTGCAAATGTGCCTTTGACGTCGCCAGTATGTTGTGAGAACTGCAGGGGGCCAGTGGGAGCGTTATTTTGTCTTAGGCCAGAGAGTGTACCTCGCTTGCATGCGTTCATGACGTAGTTAGTTGCCATGACGGTCCACCCCTAGGCGCACCCAGGCCCAGCCACAACCAATTTACCTTATGTCCCCAGATCCCTCGCCACCGCGGCCGTCGCCACATATAACCAAGGGGTCTGAGTTGGCATAGCCAATCCTGGTGACGCCGATGCTATCCCCAATGCCGGTTTCCCTGCCGATCGTATCGCAAGGTGCTGGGCAAATCGATTTCTGTGGTGAAGGGTGAGGAGGATATGGAGGATGAGGAGGAGGAGGATGCAGAGCAGCAAGAGGAGGAGGAGGAGGAGGCGGAGGAGGAGGAGGAGGAGGAGGAGGAGGAGGAGGAGGAGGAGGAGGAGAGAGGAGGAGGAGGAGGAGGAGGCGGATGATGTGGAGAAGGAGGAGGAGGAGGAGGAGTACGAGGAGGAGGACTAAGAGGAAAGCTAACAATAATACTACATATAGGAATAAGGAGACCAATAAGAAGAAGGCGAACACTAATGGTAGCCATATAATAACACGACGAATAGTACGAATAGTAAGACTACGAAACATACCCATACGAACACTAAACATGATACTAAGAAGAACACGAATAAGGAAACTACGTAATACGAATACGAATAATGAAGAAGACGAGTAATAATATCAATGATAATGCCAATCGTACTGATACTTCTCATAAAAAGAAGAGGAGGATGAAGCGGAGGAGGAGGAGGAGTAGGAAGAGGAGGAGGACGAGAAGGATGAGGAGGATGAGGAGGAGGAGGAGGAGAGAGGGAGGAGGAGGAGGAGGAGGAGGGAGGAGTATAGGAGGAGGAGGAGGAGGAGGGAGGAGGAGGAGGAGAGAGGGAGGAGGGAGGATGAGTACGAGGAGGAGGAGGAGGAGGAGGAGGAGGAGGAGGAGTAGGAGCAGGAGGAGGATGAGCAGGATGATGATGAGGCGGAGGAGGAGGAGGAAGGAACCGCCGGAGCGACGACCAGGTGCCAGCGATCGACCAGAGGCTGCTTGAGGAAGTGGTCCAGCTAGACCTCTTCGACCACCAGGACCCTCGAGCAGGAGAAGAAGTAGGAAGGATAAGGAGGAGTAGGAGGAGGAGGGAGAGGAGGAGGATGAGGAAGAGGAAGAGGAGGAGTGATGAGCAGGAGGACAAGGATGAGACGCCCCGCGAACAACATATGGCGATTGTAAGTTGTTCGAAGTTTCGGCGTGCGGATGCCGTTTGCAGGCTCTAGGCTCCAGGACTATCAACACTGATCCATAATCAAAACTGGCCCCTGGGGGCGGGTCGAGAGCTTCTACTTCCCACTCTTCTCCCGCTTCATGTCGGGAAAACGCAAGACGCGAGTTTGCCAGAGCTGGGGATTGCCGCCGCCTTTTGACGGCCCTGGCATGAACTCAGACGGTCCAGTTCTCGTCAGATGTTTGCAGTCGGTGCTCGCGCCGAATTTCAGACAAGGTCCCGAGCCTCACGTCTCCAGATCCTGCTTCCCTCGCTCGTGCCCTCCCTCCGCCCTCCTAGAGGAGTAGGCGAGTAGGAGGAGGGCGACGACGAGGATGATAACGATGCTGATCATGATAATGAATTGGATGGAGATGCTGATTATGCTGATGATGATGCTGATGCTGACGATGATGATGATGATGATGATGATGATGATGATGATGATGATGATGATGATGCTGATGATGATGATGCTGCTGATGATGATGACGATGATGATGATGTTGAGGCCGATGCTGATGCTGCTGATGATGCTGATGATGCTGCTGATGATGATGACGACGAGGATGATGATGCAGCTGACGATGATGGTGAGGATGGTTGTGATAATGATGATGCCGATGCTGGCGATGCTTATGTCGATGGTGATGGTCGTTGTGATAATGGTGGTGATGAGGATAACTATTGGGATGACGATCAGGATGAGGATGAGGATTACGATGATGATGAGGAGGAGGATGAGGAGGATGATGATGATGTTCATGTTGCTGTTGATGTTGATGATGCTGATGATGATGACGACAAAGACGAGGAGGCGGAGGAGGAGGATGAGGAAGGAGGAAGTGGAGCAGGAGGATGAGGAGAAGGAGGAGGAGGAGGCGAAGGGGGGATGCTGAGCACGAGGAGGAGGATGAGCATGATAATGATGGTACTTCGGATGATGCGGTTGTGGTGACGAGCAGGACAATGACGAGGGCGTTCATGATGATTGCGACGACGAAACCGGCGATGGCGGCGACGACGATGATGGTGATGATGATGAAGATGATGATTATGATGATGATGATGATGCTGATGATGATGATGATGCTGATGATGATGACGATGACGAGGACGACGTCGACGATGCTGCTTCTGCTGCTGCTGCTGATGATGATGATCATGATGATGATGGGTGGTGGTGGTGGTTGTGATGATGATGCTGCTGATGATGATGATGATGATGACGATTGTGACGATGACAATGGTGATGATGATGGTGATGGTGATGATGATGATGATGATGATGATGATGATGATGATGATGATGATGAGAAGAGGAGGACAGGACGAGGAGGGGACGGTATGAGCATGCGGACAAGAAGGGCGGGCATCAATAGGGGGAGGAGGAAGACAAACGCTGCAGCCATTTTGCTTAAGCCAGTCCAAAGTCATTGCCTAGTGACGCACCCGACGCATCTGCACCGAGTGGCAACATCACCGGGCCCATCCAACACGAATGAACACTTGAACATGGCATGCTTCCTCTTGTGGCAGCTATCCAGCTGCCACCGTACCAGCCAAGCATTCTGGGTCGCGCCTGATAGCGAGGGCAGGGGAGGCCGTCACGAGTGGCACCTCGTGTCGCCAGGCTTGTGAGGATGGTGAGGATGATGAGGATTACGAGGATGGCGGCGATGATGATACTGATGATGATGACGATGACGATGGTGATGGTGATGGTGATGATGATGGTGATAATGATGATGATGATGGTGGTGGTGGTGATGATGATACTGCTGATGATGATAGTGATGATGATAGTGATGATGATAATGATGATGCGATGGTGATGATGGTGATCATGGTGGTAAGATGATGATGATGAGCATGATGATGATGGTAGTAGGATGATGTGGATAGAATGAGGATGGTGATGAGACGATGGTGGTAAGATGATGATACGATGACGATGTTGATGACGAGGTGTTGGTGACGATAATGATAAGGATACGGTGATGATGGTAAGATGCTGGTGACGCTGATGCTGATGATGGTGATCCGACGATGATGACAATACAATGATGATGGCGGTGATGGTGGTGCTGCTGACGATGATAAGATGTTGGTGCCGCTAAGATGATGATACAGATGATGATGATGATGATGATGATGATGGTGATGATGAGGATGCTGACAATGCTATGATGGTGATGAGGATGATGACCATGCTGATAATGACGATACGCTGCTGATGATAATGCTGATGACGATGACGAGTCTGCTGCTGATGGTGACTATGATGTTGACGATGCTGATGCAACTGATGATGCTGACGATGGTGATGGTAGTGGCAGTGTTGGTGATGATGGTGGTGATGGTGATGATGATGGTGGTCGTGATGCTGATGATGCTGTTACTGGCGACGGTAATTTCGCTAGTGATGGTGACGATGACGACGACGACGACGACGACGACGACGACTACTACGGCGACGCTGATGATAATGCTGATGATGATGACGATGGTGATGATCACGATGACGATGGTGACGATGATGATGCTGATGATGGTGATGATGATAGTGATGCTGCTGATGATGATTATAATGGTGATGCTGATGCTGATGCTGATGCTGATGATGCCGCTGATGGCGATGCTAATGATGCTGCTGATGATGATAACGCGATGATGGTGGTGATGATGATGCTGATGCTGATGCTGAAGATGATGCTGCTGCTGCTGATGATGATGATGATGATGATGGTGGTGGTGATGGCGATGCTGCTGCTGCTGATGATGATGACGACGATGATGATGATGACGATGATGGTGATGGTGAGGCGGAGGATTTTGATGTTGACGAGGTTGAGGAGCTGAAGAGGAAAACCGTCACGTGTGACACCTTTCGTCTTCAATATTCTAGGAGCTCGTGGAACTCGTTTTGTGTCGTCTTGGGGCTGTCTTGGCCTCCTGTGGGGCAGTCTTGGGGGTCCGTTGAGGCCCTTTTTGGCCGTCGTGGTGCCCTCGTAGGCGGTCTTGAGACTCTCTTTGGCCTTCGTGGGGCCCTCTTGGTTGTATGGTGGGTGCCTGGGGGCCGTCGTGGGGCTGTCTTGGTCCCGTCTTGGGCGATGGGCCTTCTAAGGTCGCCTTGTGTCCCACGGGAAGCCTTCTTTGGCCGTCTTGAGGTCGTCTTGGATGCCTCTTGTGCCCTCGTGGGGTCCTTTTGGGCCATCTTTGGACCCTCGTGGGGGTCTCTTTGGCAGTCTTGCGGCCATCGTGGAGGCTTCTTGGGCCGTCTTGAGGTGCCAGAATCCCGAAACGGCGAGACTGCGACAATCATTCAAATACCCAACGGACATTAACCATTTTGGCTTCTTCGAACTTCATTGGAGGTTCTCAAGTGGCTGTCTTTGGGCCCTCTTCCGTGCACCTTTGGGGCGTCTTGAGGCCATATTCGGCCGCCCTGGGCCATTTTGGCCCGTCTTCGAGGCATCTTGGGGCATCTTGGTGTCCTTGCTTGCATGGGCCGTTTTGGAAGCTCGGGACGCGGATCCACCGTTCCAAACGAGGGATCGTGGCCTCGGGAGCGCGGACCCACAGTTTTTACAAGGGATTGCGGCCTCGGGAGAGGGGGGGTGCACGCGGCACTCTGGTACGAGGGGGGGGGGTCAGGGCGGTGGGCAGGATGAAGAGCGCGCGAGGGGGAAGGCGGGGGGGGGGGCGCGACCGGAGGGGGCGGATGGGAGGGAGGGGGGGGCGCGACCGGAGGGGCGAGGGGCGGGGAGGTCCGCGTCGTCGGCGGCAGTCTGGGGGGCGTTCTTCCTGGCTCACTCGCAAGTCGCAGCGGCGGCAGCCGCGCCGGCCGAGGCGGCGTGCTCCTGACGTCGTCGGTGCGCGGGGGCGCGCAGGACGTTTTGCCATCGGCATTCGCGCGATGATGGTGCAGTAGCCATATGAGAGTTTGGATCGCAGGAGTGTTGGGTGGCCCGTGGTCTTTTGCAGTGGCGAGTCGGCCTGTGGCTTCGCGCGGCCCGGGCCCGCTTCCACTGACTTTCCTTTGCCTCATCACCCAGTCCCCCTCGCCCCAAGGGCCCGTTCTCAGCGGCCCCATCGAGGCTGTTCTTGCCGTCGCCCCCATTCAAGTTCCAGTCGCCCCCCCATCCGTCCTTAGCGCCCCCGCTCCGCCCAGTGTTATTCTCCAGGCGATGTCGTTCGCCGGCCCCCTCTCCTTCTCCTCGCGCGCGGGTTTCATCGGGCCCGTCGTCGTTTTCCCGGCGCCGACGTTCCTGTCAGTGGCTGCGCTGCTGCTCCTGCCCCCCTGTCTGCCTCCCGCCGCGTCGCCGTCGCCGCTGCCGTCGCGGATGCGGCGTCGGAGATGTGCAGATTCGGCGGGGTTGAGTCGTCGTGCGCCGCGTGCCGCTGCGCTAATCAATCCAGCGAGCGGTTTCTGCGTCATTGCGCAGCGGGGGCAATTTTTTACTCATTTCGCAGAGCCTGTTCTTCTTATGTTTTTCATGCAATTTAATGTTTTCTTGGATTCCCAGGCTGTCCATGAGCAGCTGCCTTGCAAGCCGCTGCGAACCGCCGCCCTTCTCTTCGCGTTGGCATTGGGCGCCGGTGGGAGTCCGCGCGGCGAGGTGCCGCTGCGCCTCGCCCTTGTCATGCGTCTGTCTGCGCAATGTAGAAAGAATGCGGGGGGGCGGGGGGCGGGCTATCGCTCATTCTCGAAGGCGACGCAAAGTCAGCACTGCCTGCCCCATGCATGTGCTGTCTTCCTGCCCTCTGCTTTTCTCTCCCCCCCCCTGCGCCGCTGCGGCAGTTTCGGATCAGGGGGGGCCGCTGGCCCCGCCCTCGGGGGGGGGGGGGCGGGCCAGCCCGAGCAGATCGCTGACAGTCGGCCTGACCGACTGCGTATTATGTAGCGCTCTCAGTCCATCAACTCTTCTTGCTCGTCCTGCAGTCTGCTGCAGACCCGCGAGCCCGCCGTGCGCGGCGCGCGCAGGGACTCCATGGGCATGCGGCATGACGGCTGACCAGCCGCGCCGGCGCAGCTCTGGGACATCGTCGTGATATCCCGAGTCGTCGGTAAACACACCATCGATCCAGTCTGTCTTGGGCCGGTCCCAGTCGCCCCAGAAAAAGCAAGGTGGATCGCGCGGCGGCTGCGGCGCATCGATAGTGGGCCACCGAGGGGTCCCAATCCCAAGCGCAAGCGAGTTAACTTCCCGACGGCCCTCTCCAATTGGCCCTTGCTCCAACGTGGCGTCGCGAGCCGCGGCCAACTTCGGGCCCAGACCGCAGTCCTCCTCCTCATCGAGCAAACGCTGTGTCAACGCTGTGCGCTCAATGAACGCATGGCCGAGTGTTTCGGCTTCGTGTGGACAGGCTCTACACTTCTGATCGTCGCGCAGACCGCGCCTAAACCGCTTAGCCTTGGACCGCAGAGAATCTGGCCACAGGCTGCGAAGTGCGCCCGCCCGCCCCGCCCCCGTCGCCGTCGCCGCCCTCCCCCCGGCGCATGCGCGCGGGCCTCTCGGCCAGAGCGGGCGGCTCGGCGGCGCGGCAGAGTGGTGCTCGGCAATCTGGCGCATATGCCAACGCTGGATCCCCTGGCGGAGGAGATCGCGAAATAATCGAGGCGGTGTGGCCAGAGGCGAGATCGCTGGCCCCTCACTTGGCTTGATCAGCAGCGACGACCACGCGACCCAGCCGATCCGCTTGAGCGAAAGGATGACCACTTTGAGCGGACCCCTGGCCGACGCCCGCGTGAGCTTGTCTTCTCCAGCTTCAACCTTGTCCAGCAGCACTCGCCAGGCGCGCTCCAGCTCACCCGAGCCGATCTCCCGTTGCCAGATCACTCTCTCATGGTGCGTGAGAGGCTCGACCGTCGCCGCGGAGATCGGGTCGTAGTGCGGTTTCTTCAGGCTGGCGAGGTAGAGCGTGATGCTGCCTCCTCGCCCTTTGGTTCCTGCCAGCCGCGCAGCCTCCGAGCGCGTCGCTGCCGGCTCGGGCGGGGCCATTCCGCCCGCGGCAGCGCCATGGGCCGCGGCTGGCACGAGGCCCGTCTGCCACAGGCACGCCATTCTGGCGCCCGCGGCTCGCCTCAGCCTCGTCGCGCGTCGCATGCGCAGGCGAAACTTCTTGAGCCTGGCCCTGGCGACCGGCCTCCTCGCCTTGGACCCGTTGAGGTCGTGGCCCGGGTTCCGCATGTGTCGGCGGGCCCGAATCTTGGCCCGCTTGGCGAAAGGCTCGGCCGCCGCCTTCGTCGCGACGACGCCGCGTAGCCAGATTTGAGCGCCTGCAGCGCTGGGCCCGCGTCGCCGACGTCGTGCGTGCTGTTCTTTGCGGCCTCCCAGAGCATCCGCGCCGCCCGCGGGTCCCGGCCGACCCGCTGCACGGAGGCGTCGTCAGCCAGTGTCCTCGGGGGATGACGTCGAACCGAGCGAGCCGCTTGAGCGCCCTCGCCGTGGCCGCCACCAGCGCCGCCGTCGAGTGGGGGCGCCCCGCGAGGGTGCCCAGGTGCGCCGTGTAGCTCTTCGAGAGCGAGCCGTGCGCCTTCAAGCGCCTCGGCAGGTGGTGGTACTTGAGGATCGCCCACGTGAGGCGCAGCGGGTAACCCATCCACTTGGTCTCCTGCATCCCCTTCCTCCTTATCAGGCTGTCGAGCGCCTTCCAGGCATCGAGGGGCGCGGTGATGATGTGGCTTCTGCTGAGGTTCGCAATCTTCGCCGTCAGGTTACGGTGGAAGGCCGCCGCCGACGACGTCCTGCCAGCGCCGCCTGTGCCCAAGAGGTTGGGCACGTCAGCGTTCGCCAGCCGATCTCTCGAAATCGTAGACCTCGCTCTAGCCCATGGCCGAAGAAAAGAGTTGACTAGGACAATCAATCTGCAACCGCCGCTCTCCTTGGGGAGTGGAACCAAAATCGTGCACAACCTGCTCGTCGGCCACGCAAACTGGCTGCAAAGCGCCGACGGCACGAACAATCCGATGCCGCTGAGATGCCACAGGGCCCTGGGGCGATGCCCGTGTGGCCCGGGGCCGTCCTCTCCTTGAAGCGGAACGCGGCCTTGCGGAGGTGGTCGGCGCCCATCCTCGGCAGGTCGGTCCAGCTGTCGAAGTCAGGTGGCTTCTTGCGCGTTGGCTCCTCGTGGCACGCCCAGGCGTCGGTCTACTCCTGGAGCTCGTGGTCGGCCCGCTGGTGCGGGCTCCCCCGAGTGGTGGCCCTCCGCACTTCGGCTGCAGGCGGCAGCTTGGTGAAGCCGTGCGCCGCTCGAGCACCACCCTCCAGGCTCTTGGCGGCCCAGTTGCGCCACTCTTCCTCGCGCTCCTTCCTGTATCGCTTGGTGAACCGCCGGGCCTCGTCGGAGATCCGCTGGGCCTGGGCATCCCGCTGGGCGTGGGCCACCTGCGCCAGGCCCCCGTCGAACCACTGGACCACGTTCTCGGGGAGCTGGCTCCTGATGCGGCCCGACTTCACCACGTTGGCGTAATAGCGGTGGGTCACAAGGAGCCACTCGGCCGCCTTCTCGATATTGTCATCCTCTCTGCCGTTCGATCTATTTTCGGGCTCCAGGACCGTGTCGCTCGCCAGCAGCTTCTTGAGATGGCTGCCTCTGGCGTCCAGGTGCTTCGCCCCACGCGCCGCCACCATGTGGGCGCTCACCTTCGGGTTGTGGAGCTTCCTCTTGCCGGGCGGCTGCCAGTTTGGCTGGGCCAGCTTGAAGGCAGGCTCGCACCCTCTACCCGCGTGCTGCTTCCTCGCCGCGCCCACCAGGTACCAGCGGTCGCATAGCTCGGCCTCCGCCGCACGGACAACTGCGTCCCACGCCTGCTCCAACCTGCTGGTTCCGAACGCGTTGAGGGCCAGCTGGAGCGCCTTCTCCCGCGTGCGCTCGCAGGGAAAGGGCGCCGCTCCCACCAGCGCTACCGCGGCGAACCCGCGCGGCTCGAGGAGGAGGAGGAGCGGAGGAGGCGGGAGGACAAGAAAGAGAAGGTGAGCAGCAGTGCTCTGTTCAGAAGGGCTGCCCGGCGCTGGAGGGCCAGGGGAAAAAGGAGGAGGAAAACGGGGTGACGAGACGGAGGTGCAAAAGTGTCAGGAGGGAAAACAAAAATACAGACACGATTAATCCTCGATCTCAGAAAATATGGGAAAATATGGGAAGTGGGGGGAAGACAAAAACCCTGAAAATATGGGAAAATATGGGGGATCTGTTTATTTGTGTGTATTTATTTGTGTGTCCTGGGGCCCCTTCAAAAGTGGCGTCCCCCGCAAAGTGCCCCCCCCTCCCCCCCCCAGGGCGTGACCTACAAGGTAGCGGACCTGGGCAACGCCTGCTGGGTGGACCGCCACTTCTCAGGCCAGCGCGCGGCCTCCCGGGGCGCGCGCCGCGCTTGCGCCTCTCTCTTCCCTGTCGAGGGCTCGTGTTGTTCTGGCCCACCTGTCCCTGCTCCTCCCATCGTCCTCTCTCTCTCCTGCTCCTCCACCTCTCTGTCCGTCCATCCCTTCATCCCTCCGTCCACTGTCCCTCCATGCCCCCGTCCCTCTTTCCCCACATCCTAAAGTGGGGTTCTGTTTGCTCTGGGCACCCCGCGCAGGAGCAGGAACCCATCTACATCTTCATCATCATCATCATCATCATCATCAGCAGCAGTAGCATCATCATCATCATCATCATCATTATTATTATCATCATCATTCTCATTATCATTATCGTCATCAGCATCATCATCATCAGCAGCATCACCATCAGCAACAGCATCAGCATCAGCATCATCATCAGCATCAGCATCAGCATCAGCATCATCATCATCAGCAGCATCACCATCAGCATCAGCATCAGCATCATCATCATCATCATCAGCATCAGCATCAGCATCAGCATCAGCATCAGCATCAGCATCAGCATCAGCATCAGCAGCAACATCATCATCACCACCATCATCATCACCGTCATCATCATCACCGTCATCATTCTCACGATCATTATCATCATTCCTATCGTTATCATCATTAGTATCAGCATCGTTATTATTATCATCACTATCGTCACCATCATCATCGCTATCATCATCAGTATCATCATCATTATCAGCACCATCATCACAAATCCCATCACAATCGCCATCACCATCATCATCACCATCACTATCCGTCTCATCATCATCGTCATCAACATCATCATGATTATCAGCATCAGCATTATCATCAGCATCAGCACTAGCATCATCATCATCATCATCATTATTATTATTATTATTATTATTATTTTTGTTATTATTATTATCCTTATTATTATCATCATCAGCAGCAGCATCATCATCATCATCATAGCTGTCGTCACTCTTGGGCTCCTTAGGCCTGAATATGGAGGGACTATCAGGCGGGAGCTTCGTCTGGGAGTGACTTGCGAGGCAGTCTCATGCGGGAACTTCGTCTGGGAGTGAATTGCGAGGAAGTCTCAGGCGGAGCCTTCCCCTATGGGGCCCACAGCTCATGCTTTTCGCCAGAGCGGGTCACCCTCAAACCTGTAACAGACATCATTGTTGGGCTCCCCAGGCTTGAATATTGAGGGAGTATCAGGCGGGAGCCTCGCCTGTGAATGAATCGCGAGGAAGTCTCAGGCGTGAGCCTCGTCTGTGAGTGAATTGCGAGGAAGTTTTAGGCGGGAGCCTCTTCCCTATGGGGCCCGCAGTCATTTTTTCGTTTTATAAATCCGAGGGGGTCATCCTCATACTTGTATCTGTCGTCAGTCATGGGCTCCTCAGGCCTGAAAATGGAGTATCAGGCAGGAGCCTCGTCCGTGAATGAATCGCGAGGAAGTCTCATGCGTGAGCCTCGTCTGTGAGTGAATTGCGAGGAAGTCTCAGGCGGGAGCCTCCGCCCTATGGGCCCGCAGCTTGTTATGGGGCCCGCAGCTAATGTTGTCGCACGTCCTGAGTGGGGTTCTTGTGTTTTGAATCTGAGTGGGTCATCGTCAAACCTGTAATTGTCGTCACTCTTGGGCTTTTGAGGCCTCAATACTTGGGAAGTCTCAGGCGGGAGCCTCGTCTTTGAGTGAATTGCGAGGAAGTTTCAGGTGGGCTCCTGAGGCCTGAATGCTTGGGAAGTCTCAGGCGGGAGCCTCGTTTGTGAGCGAATTGCGAGGAAGTCACGCGGGAGCCCCCCTCCCTGTGGGGCCCACACTTCGTGTTTCCAATCCGAGCGGGTCATCGGAATCCTGCGGCGCGAGGAAGTCTTACGTGGAGCCTCGTGAATGAATTGTGATGGAGTCTCAGGCGGGAGCGCTCCCCCCCACATGCGGCCCGCACGTCATGTTTTTAATCAGAGCGGGCCATCGTCAAACCCGTAACCGTCGTCACTTTCTGGGCTCCACTTGAATATGGAGGAGGTATCAGGGGGAACCTCGTTTGTGTGAATTGCGAGGAGGTCTCAGGCGGGAGCCCCGTCCCTATGGGGTATGTGTTTTTGATCCGAACGGATCATCGTCATGGGGTGGGTCCCCACCGCCATGTTCGGATCCGAGCGGGTCATCCGAATCCTGTAACTGTCGTCACCCCTGGGCTCCTACGGCTTGAGTCTGTGGGGAAATCTCGAGCGGGGGCTTCGACTGCGAGTGAATCGCGTGGAAGTCTCGAGCGGGAGCCTTTCCCTATGGGGTCCCCACTTCCATGTTCGACAAGAGGACTGCGAACCCCAGGGCTGAGGCGGAGCTCGCGGCAGAGCTAAGCTTCGCGCTGCCTCCCGCCTGAGCGGGGCGGCGCCCAGCTCGAGGCCCGCGGGATTCTCCCGACAGCTTGCTCCCGCGCCCCACTGGCCCACGAGGTTGTCCCAACGGCCTGGCCCACGTGGTTGCCCCAACGGCTTCGCGATCCGGGCGTTCGGAGAACGCGCGCATGCCGGCCGTGGCGGCGAGGGCGCCGAGGAAAATCTAGATGCGTGCCCCAGCCACAAGAAAGGAGAGGTGCATGAGGAGAACCGGCGGGACGGAGAGGGAGAAGGAGGAGGTGGAGGAGGAGGAGGAGGACGAGGAGGAAAAGGACGAGGATAATGACGAGGAGGAGGAGGCATGAGAGGGAGGAGGAGGAGGAGGAGGA